TAAAATTCCCTATGTGTAAAATATTTATTACATTATGCAACAATTATCATAAAATTTATATTAGTTTCGTAAAATCTATTGGATTTACCTATCCCTATTGGCAGCTATGATAATATATCTTTTCACAAGTAGCTATTAAAGATTTTTTTCACTTTAGTTTTTTCCTGAGTAAAGGAAGACCCAAACTTCCTACAAGTGAAACTCAATAATGATTAATTGTTATAAATTTAGTTCTTTAAAATTATGTAGGAAATCAAATCTAATAATTCAAATATAGTTTGTTTTTATTTGCCTAAAGTTGGTATTTTGCTTTATATAGATTTATATATGGCCCAGTGTTCCGTGGATGACAACTGCAATGCTGCTTATCGCTTGATATGTAAAAGTGGTCATTGTGTGTGTAAACCTGGTGATCTGTTCTTTGATTGGCCCAAGTACGGCTGCTTTTCAAAAGGTAATTTTTCTTTTCTTTTTTTTAATGGCCTGAAGAAATTTTTTATTTATTTATTAGTGTCTCTGTGTGCTTCATATTTTTTTAACGAGATTAATTTTAATTATACACATTATGTTTTTAATAATGCTCATTTTCCACTCTTCCAAGTCCTCTTAATGTATACCAGTTAGACTTCTAAACTTTTAAATAATTTTTTTTTTTAGCTATTTTAGGTGCTGTAGAGTCTCTCTACAATGAAGCCTCCCTATAAAGAAATTTCTCCTTGTTTTAATTTGAAAGTTTAACATTTAAAATATTCTCCTTAGAATAAAGGAGTTGATTTCCTTTATCAAATTTATCATTTTTGAGAAAAGTTGAAACTGAAAGTTAAAATTTCTATGCAACAAATTTGCTCTAATGCATGCCTGTTCCTCCAATTCTTGCATTCTGAGGATAGAGTATAACTATTGAATTCTATAATCTCATTTCTAATACTCATTTGGAATACATGTTATTTTATTTAATTTGAAAGTCATAATTATATATTTTGGACTTACAACATTGACTAGAAATTTTGTAACATATTTTAATAACTACAAAAATCTCTATCCTCCATTTAACAAAATTTTTACTATAGTGAATTTTTCCAACTGAAATTAATCAATTTTATTATAAAAAGACTCAAATGTTTGGTCACAGAATTAATGTGGCATGAAAAGGGCCATAAATTTGTTTTGGTCTTGCAGACAAAAATTAGTGAATATAAACACCCTATCACGACCTCTGTAAGTTATGGTATTTTTTCATAGTGTTGCTGATTAATGGACTCTTCTGTATATAAATCTTGAAATCATTCAAACATTTTAATTGATATCATTAACCACCTGTATTTGATTTTGATTTGATAATAAGTCACTGACTGAACATTTACAAAATTATTCTTTATAATGTTAAAAAGATTAATAATAATATTGCTTTTTAGTATAGTAATATGATATTTTAGGGATAAAAAAGTTTTTTTTCTTCTCAATGCTACTGATTATTCAATTTTTAAAGTTTTTTAGATTTTAAAAATGTACGCGAATTTTTTGTTTGTGATGAAATTAGATGCTAGATTCGTATTCCTTCATTAGTTAAGTGTTTTTAATTATAATTTTATTCTTGCATAGATTTTTAAGTTTTTGATAGCATCTTTTCAATAATAATACCTAGAGCTGAATTATTTCGATTGTTCTACAACAAGAATTTTGATTAGCAAAGTTCTGCAGATTCAAAAATTGTTTAGGAACAAACTACTCTTACCAGTTATTTTATTAACATTTTTTTCAAATGACAAATAATTATTTTTTGTAAAATTATATTAAAAAAAGAGCCTTAAGAAAATAATAATATAATATGTAAGAAAAGAACCTTATAAAAAAAGAACCTTTAATATAATATAAATGCCTACATAATAAAACAGAAATTATAAACAGCGTGTAGAATTTTCATTGCAAGTTAGACATAAATTGTTTTGCAAGGAGACCTTGCTTGTTATCTGATGCAAGTTGCAGCTTTTTAATTTTTTGCAATTTAATTGTATTTAAACATGCCTTTAAAAATAAAATGCAGTTACATACGCAGTATTAGTGGGACTATAGATGATGTTTTTCAACCCCCGGTTAACCATGGTAAGTTGTGCACACAAGTGAAACATACACCATAATAATAAAGTTTTAAATAATTTAATTAATGTTCCTTGGGCAGCCTGGTACCATTTGATTCGAAGCCCGGGCCGCAACCCAGGCTGTGGTTAGAGACCACTGATATAAGTGATGTGTAGGGATAATATATCTTATAAGCTGAATTATTATTAATGTTTAATTTATTTTTCGCACTGTTAAACATGTTTTTAAAGTACAAACTTGTTTCATTTATAAAAAAAAGCCATGTTTATGTTATTCTTTTGATATTTTTGTCATTTATTAATTTTTACAATTTAATAACCAACTCTTAAATTGTTTGTATTATATAATTCCTGTGGTTCAGTTTCTTATCTACGGTTTTATATTTAAGCTTGTGGAGTTATTACATGAATTTCATTTTAATTATGTTTATATCGTAACTGATTAATTCATTATACAAATTAGAAACATTAATTGTTTAAAATTTTGCATTATAAATTTGGTATATGTATCAAAGCTCTTTTGTTTCTATTTGTTAGATTTGTTTTCACTTGTTGTGAAATTTAAAATTGAATATTATGTTTTTAGTTCACATGTTTGGTCCTTGTGAAGTGTCTGGGCAATGTTTGGCTTACACTCCAAACACCTACTGCAACCCTGATAATTCACGCTGCACATGTTCACCCAATTACTTTTTCAATGGGCGGGATTGTATTTTGAGATGTAAGTGACAATAATTTTTTATTATTCATTCATTCTCATATATAAACTTTCCTTATGGTCAGGCATATTTTTAAAAAAAAATATTCACTTTTTTATGATAAGTTATGTGTTGATGTAACTAGTTGTTAAAATAATCAGTTATAAGTAGTGATTGCTATTTTGAAAATTTTATTAAATATGCAGTTTTTACTTCTGTCACTTTTTTTCAAATCATTGAATAAAATTTTTATGAGACGTACAAATTATTTTAAAAACATAGTTATTTTTATGTTTTGATATAAAACAGTAAGATAGGAGGCACAAGAAATCGTCATAAGGATATAATTTATAACAAACATTTTTCTTAATGCCTAAAATAAGAATATTTTTCTTTTATGAGTATTGCAGTTCTTTTATAACATAAAGACAGCTATACTATATACTGCAACAGCTTTCAATTTATTTTTATATGTGCTTTTTATGTTGTTTTGGTTTAGATACAAATCATTATTATGTATAGGGTTACTTTTAAAAACTTTGTATTTGACACAATGTTTCTATGTCTTATTTTCCCCCTCAAGTTTCATTTATTGCAAATGTTTTCTTTCATATAAAATTCTTTTAAAAAAAATTTTTATTATTATTTTTTTTTAATGCAGAAACCGAAATAAAACAGAGTAGTGTGAGGTGGATTTTTTTTTTTTTTTTTTTACTATTAAAATTATGACTCTCAAATATTTTTTATTTAGTGATGTCATTATTTTTAAACTAAAAAGGGGTGGGGTTTTTTTTCCATGGATTATTTGTTTAAAGTTCTATGCATGCTCCGGAACTTACTGATCTGATTTGATTTCAATGTTGTATTTGACTCTTATTGATTAGGAAGACTCTTTATTTTTTATAGATTTTGTCCAAACTTTTTCAGATGATCCTTCAAATTTGAAAGCTCAGGAAGTATATAAAGCCGCTGTTGTTGCTGCGGCCTGTTTCATTGTCGCAGTTGTTGGGATATTTGTTGCCTGCATTGTGAGACGGTATGATTTTATTATCATTGTTAAAAAATATTGTTGTCATTTTAACACATCACTGTCGCATAATCAATTTTCTAAACTGTTATCTTTAGCTGCATGCGAGAAATGATTTATACTTTTAATTAAAGAAAAGGCAAGAAATTAGTTTTTTTTAAATAAAAACTAGAGGGGTGGACAAAACAGCAAAACATTACTGGGTGATAGAACACATCTACTCAATATTCATCATCGAATGTATCATCAGAACACAAGCTGTGAGAAGTTAAGAAGTAGTTTTTCACTGTTACATTTAAAGAATTAACACAAGAATGGGAAAAGATGCTTCAGAAAACCTTTCAATCATGGAAATGTGTTTGATGTACAAATAATTGCTTAAAGAAATTGCTTGCTTTTTTTGGAAATGTATGTTATTCACTTCTTTTGGGCGATTTCTTTCCGCAGCAATCATATTTCCGTGAGTAAAAAAATTTCTGAAGCATCTTTTCTCATTCTTGCGTTAATTCTTTAAGTAAGACAGTGAAAAACTGCTCACTGCTTGTGTTTCAATCATACATTTTATATCAAATATTGCTCATTTCAATGCTTTCTATTACCCAGTAAAGTTTTGCTGTCATGTTCAGACTCAGCACACACTCTTAAAATTAGAATTGTTTTAAAATGCAAACAATATCTAAGTATTACAGTTATATTTGTAATCCTTACAAATGTAAGTTTTATAGTCAAAAAAATTCTTAATATATTCATTTTTTTTTCTCAAAAATTATGTTTTCTAATGTTACTATCATTGTTAAAAAAATTTTTTTGTCATTTAAATACATTAATATCATAAGAAGTCTTTACCATTATCTTCATAAAATCTAAGTAATCGCTCTGTTTCTTTCTCTTTTTTTTCTACATTTTGTGAATCATTTTAAAAAATGAAAAGCTTGGTTAGACTTAAAAAAATTAATAGTATATAGTTCATTATAAAATCTGTTATTACTAGATTCTTTTTTTTTTTTTAATATCCCTTGTGTCAACCCTCTTGTTTATGCATTTAGCTACCAGGTGATCCAAAAATGATTGAAAAGAAATAATAATGTTGTGTTAACTGTTTTCTGCTTAGGAAACTAGAATCTGCTGTTAACTTTTTCTCGTGAACTGCACCATATTTTTAAGAAACAATGTAACTCATTATTATACTAGGCGAGGAAAATATCCTGGTTATATATGTAGCAAATTCTATTTCCATTTTTTCTTTAATTAAATTTTCAATCCATCGTCATTTGGAAGATAGCATTTTTTAATATTAGTTATTTTTCCTAAAATGTTATTTACAGTAATAAGATGCAAAATTATTTTATAATTTATTTAATTCATATTTTATTTATGTTATATTTTATACTTTTAAATAATGCATGTTTTTTTTAAAATTTATTTTAGGTCATTTTGTAGACGAGAACAAAACTTGCCACAAAATGAATCCAATCGTAACAGTGATATATTTTCCATCAGTGATGAAATAGCTGCTATGAGAGCTGTGGATAAGCCTCCATCATATGAAGAAGTTCTACAGATAGAACGAACGGTAAACCTTAAAATAGTTTTTTTATTCTTTAAAAATATTATTAATTATTCTTTTTCAAGAATCTGAGATAAAATTGGCCCTCATACCTTGTGTTCTAAAGTTGATGTTCAAATTCTAAGTACAAAAATACCTATATGAAATTTGTCTAGCAATATCTTCTAGTATTCTATAGTTTAATATTAAACTAAATTTTTTGTTATTCATTGTAACTCAATTCAAAAATGGATCATCTTTTATCTACAAACTATGTGAATCAGCAAGGTGTCTTAGTCAAACATTTAAAGCAGTCGTACAAAAAAAGAATGCTTTTTACTGCCATCTTGAAAATTAACTTCTATCTATGATAAGTTTTAGTTGCATTTTAAAACGCAGAATTATCAAAGACAAGAAAGGAATTGAAATGAAAGTCTTTCAGATTCCAAAAATAATATAATTCCAAAGATAAATACAAATATATATAAGATTTATATTCCGGAATTTTCTTATCATTCTTCTGGTATAAAATCTGGAAGCAGGGCATGTGATTTTTCCACGAATATTGCAGAATTCTGCATATCTCAGGACCATAGTTAGCAGACTTCCGTGCATCAAAAACTTATAATCTGACGAAATTTTACTAAATCCCGTTAACAAGACAATTGCATATGCGTGATTCTGCCCCCATTTCGATTCTTTTGTTGCTAACGGATTTTTGCCATTTTGAATACTTGGAACTGCGTCATAATCTGCTAATATCGTGATTCTTATTAGCACAATTTTAGTGTCAAACATCGATTTTCGGATTTACCCGATTTAAAAGTTATGTGTTGTGATTCTTATTCTCATGATTCCTGTTCATGCGAATTAAAAATCCAATGTCTTGGTTTGTATTTACGCATTTTTAAAACCCAATTTGTGGTTCATATTCATGTCAGTTTAAAATCCAACGTTGCAATATGTATTTACGTTGTTGTAATACCTAAAATCAATTTTGTTATTTATTCATGATTTAGAAATCTATGCATTTCGATTCATATTCGTGTGATCAAAAAATTATGCATCAGGATTCGTATTTACTTGATTTAAAACTCAATTTCGCAATTTGTATTTTGCCAATATTTTGAAAATCCAATATCGTTATTCATATTCACTCGCATATAGCATCCAATATCTCCATTCTTGTAAGAAGTAAGTTTTCTTGAATTAGTTACTTTAAAAGTGTGATATTCTTCATTAGTAGGTAATTTAATTATAAATGCTAGTTCGAAAAATTGTGTTAAATATGAAACATTTGGTATAGAAATTTATATAGATATTTTGCACATAAAAGTTCAGGGTTTTTCACTTTGTGTCACACTCACCCCTGTATATGTATGTATGTATATATATATATATTTGCATACTGTTGTAATGTTCTTTCTCTATTTCAATTATTCTTTTCAATTACTGATAGAGCCATTAAGATTTCTATAAATTAGAAAAAGCTTTAAACTATTTCATTTGTGTATAGGAACAACTTTTTAGAGTAATGCTTTATTCTATTTCTAATTTTAAAAAAATTTAAAATGTTATTCAACGTCCCACCTTAATGCATTGATGCTGCTGCTCTGATTCAGAAGAAATTCCTGCTCGTAGTCGTGCTTTGATATGTTAGCCATAAGCTTATTTTGAAAATAAGCTTATTACAGGGTTTGTTATCCCTGAACATAGCTAGATTTAATATTGAACAACCTAATTTCAAATTATTTCATAATATAATTTCATTTAAGTTGCATTACAGTTTATTTACTTTAATAACACTTATAAAAATTGTGAATGCTTCTTTTTTTTTATATATAGTTTTATGGTATTCCTCCTCCTGAATATTCAGCTTCTAGAAATGTTAATAATCCAACATATCAATCTGGATCTCATTTCCCTACTTGTCAGAGAATCCTTCCTTTACCATATCTTTCTGATTGCATTCCAAGACCAAATGTGGAAGCTGGAAATCTTGCCAGTACCAGTGCAGATAAAGAGCAAACTGATCCTAATCTGAGTTGTCCAGAAACGAGTAGTTCTTCTAATATGGTTGCTGCTGTAGAAGTTATCTCACCTGCGAATTCACTTCCCCCAGAAAATCCCATTTCAGATAATATGTCATCCACATGCGTTCTTTCAAACCAAATCTCAAGTTGGGGTGAGAGTCAGTTTGCATCTTCCACATCACAGCCTTACCTCTGTGAAGAATGTGCAAAAACTACCACCGCTAATGCAGACTGCGACAAGTGCAAAGCTAATTTAGAAAAAAAGACATTGGGCATTTGCACTAATTCTGATGATGCTGTTGGAGTTGTGCTGCCGTCTCAAATAACGTGTGAAGAGGGTGTTTTAAACAGCTCACTGTCTACGTGCATGCAGTCCAGTCCTATCAGGTTAGGGCAGCTTACGTCATTCACGCCGCCACCGAATCCTCGGCGTGAACGTGCCCAAAGACCAACCCATGCTTCATCGTTACCTGGGTCACCATTCCTTTCATCTCATTCATCTGATACTGTTTTAAACCTTCCTCTTCTAAAAGAACTACTTAAATCTGATAGCCAAAGGTTTGAACAATCCATCCCGTCTACATCTCAAAATGACAATTCATCACACCATAGTGATTCCTCTAGTGATGTGCCTACACTCGCCTATGATAACTTGGGATTTGTGCCTGATTCTCATGTGTAAAATTAGTGTCTTAGCCAAGCAATTATTTCACTCTCATAGCATTCAGGAAAATTCTGTATCGTTCTGTGATGATATTCAGGTTTGTGTTGCTTGTATCATTCAATCAATGAAACATTTTTCATTATTTCAATTGATAGTAAGCATTAGATTTTATTTGAGGTTTTATAAAATCTGCATGTATTGTACAGTACTAAAAATTATATTTGTCAATTAGATGCATCTATTAAGCTTGTTTGTCATACATATATATAATTAGATGTGTAAAGGATAAAAGAATATAATTTTTATGGTTATTTATTTATTTAGACAGAGTATTCATTTAATGCATAAAATATCATGATTGAGCTGCGCTTTATGGCGAAAATAAAGTGTTTTGTTATTCTTTTTAATTAAAAATTATATTCAAAACATTTTTTGTAGAAATACTTTTGAGTATTAACTGATGGATTATTTGTTTGCTCTCTATTTTTATAACATTTGTTAGTAATCATATAGTATTTGCTAAATGTTTAAGCAGTTTAATTTAGTTTGACATTTGTACTGTTATTTGTTGTGATTCAGAATACGAAGAAAAAAAATCATTCAAATACCTATACTGTTAGGGACTAATTATCTGGAATTCATTAAAATTATTTCAGTTTAACTTGTGTCATAGTTTTGCTATTTATTTCATTTACCTACACTTTTTAAAAAAATTAAAAATTCTTTTAATTTTGAATACTAATCTCTCTTTTTTAGTACATACAGATAAATCAATAAAATTATGTTTCTTTCTATTTAATTATTTATTTAATTTTGCCATATTCTTTTCATTTCTTAGTGAATTCTATGAAAAATAAAGAACATTTTTTTGCTCCTTTTGAGATAGATTTTTGATTTTTTTTTTTTTTTTTTTTTTTTTTTTTTTTTTTTTTTTGCTTGTTTACTAATTGTAAAGCTTTTTTAATAAAATGTAAGCAAGTAAACGTTTAATTTTTTTTTTTTTTTTGCTACGTNTTTTTTTGCTATGTTCCTAAAAAAAACTTTTACAATATGCAGAAAAATAATTACACAAAACGTGACCAAATGTATTGTGTACTTTTGAATAAATTTTCTTTTAAGAGTTTATAGTATTTGTTTTATATGTATTATCTTATTTTAAAGTAGCACCTTTGTATGGTATAAACATATTTTCTGTTTTGTGTTCAAAAAATTTTTTTAAATTAAGAAAATCTATTTGACATACTGATTTTTTTTTAAATTTTATTTTGAAATTTTAACTATTTCAACTTATTTTCTGCCAGATAATTAGTCCAGAACTATCCGCTTGTTTTCGAAACATGATATTGTGATTGTTTCCCAACATATGTCCAGTCATATCATTCTAGTCATTATGTTTTCATGCATGTATTATTTTGCTATTAAATAGATCTGCTCAAAATGTCACTTATAGGTTTCCATTATTGTTAGTTAAATTGAGTTTTAAATTGGACTATGATTTTTTTACATGAATATTGATGGTTATAAACGTTAATTTTCAAGATATTTAATGAATACTTGTCAGATAAAATTATTTGTAATGTTCTAATATTTTAAAAACATTTTAATAATATATTAATTTGATAAAATCAGCAAATTAGATGTGTTATTAATTTAAGTTTGCTAGAATACTTAATTAAATTTGATTAAAAACAAATATAAATTCAAAACAATTTCAATAGTAATATATTTTAATTAGTAATATACTTATTTTTAATTTAATTTAATTATTATATATTAGCTCATTATTTACGTTTTGTACTTGTTAAATTTAATTTTATAAATAAATGTTACGAAAAAATAATTAACATAAAAATGATGACAATTAAAATATGGTATTGTTAATTTAAATTAATTAGTGTACTAAAAATTAAACTATAATTTATTTATGAACTTTAAAAGGCGTTATTTTTTTTAGATTTCATGTATCATATCAGATAATTTTCTTATTTTATCATTTCTTCTTGAATGTTTTAAGAATAGATATTCAAATTTCTTTTTTCAAATTTAAGTTTTAAAACATTTTGTTGTCTTCCAAGCTTTTAAATTTCTTAGTGAAGTCTTTTAATCATGTTTATTTGTTAACATTGCTGATTCAATCTATAGTTCTCAAATTGCCTTTTAAATGATAAGCAATTTTAGTCCAATATAGTGCCTTGAAGTGTTGAAAATATATTGCACAAATATTGTTAAAAATAAATGTGTCTTAATACTGTATAATTGTATATGTTGTTGCCTTATTCACAATTTGTAGTTAAAGCAGCGAAATTGATGTTACTTTTATAAGGTTCAACTTTGTCCATTTACATTGCTTAGGTTTTTTAATAGATTATCAATCAATGTAAATGATTAGTTAATTGTTAAGCTAGCATTTTCTAACTTAAAATATGTATATATCAAGCATATTTACAGTTTGTGATGTGGGTAATAAAAAATAATAAATAAAAATATTATTACATTCATTATAAATTTTGTATGATATAAAAAAAAATTTTGAATTGCATTCTTAACTTAATAACAAATTATGAGATAAATTAATTTATTGGAGTTTGAAAAATAATGAGCATCTGGCCACTAAAAGGTCTAAATAACTGTAGCTGGTGCCCAATATTTAAGTATTTTTTAAAATCAAGAAACTGATTGTATTTTTTATAAATAATTAAAAAGGAAGTTTTTCTCAGTATTCAACTTGAAAAATCTTAAAAATCTGATTTTTTTTTTTTTTAACTTGGTTGGCATTGTTTGCTTTGAGTATTGTCTTTCGATATTATACTATTAATTTAATTTAAAATAGAAAAGACCAAATTCTAAGGTTATTTCTATGGGTCTGAGAAGAAGAAATGTTTTACTACCAATTACTTCGCAAATATACATACTTAACGAAAATAATTAATAACTGATAAAGACAAGAATAACTTTAATCAAATCAAAGCACCCATAAAAAATGTCTCATTGCTGAATAGCATTTCTGCATGAGCAAACAACTTAATATTTGATCTGCAAATCATGGATTGATCTCATTTCCTCATCAAAACTGATAATCTGCTTTTCTGGCCTACTCATATTAGAAATTTCTGACTCTACTTTATTTTTTTATTCACAATTGAAGAAAACATTTTTTGAATATTAATATTTCAATATTGGGTGACTTTGAAATATATATAGAATAAAAATAATTATTAATATGTTGATAAAAATGTATTGAATATTATTGGGGGGAAAAATACTTATCAATAATCAAAATATTTACTTGTTACTGTTACATTGCTCTGTGTATTGTAGATCAATCATAAATACATCTAGCAAAGACCACCTCTATGTAGCGACCTCTTCTATTTACAACCCCTTTTGGGAAGCACAGAATTTTTTCCATAGACTTTGTGTAAAAAAAAAATTTAAGAGAGGCCATCAAAAAGAATATCAAAACTACAAAAATTACCAAAACAAATAAGTTGATTCAAATGTGTTCAAAATATTTGTGAGTGGGTCTTATTGAGAGAGCTCTTTTTGGCGATCTCTAAAAGAGATTGGAAAATTTTACGTTGCTATCAATGATTTTTTTTGGAGTTGAAAGTTAAATTAGATTTTTAAGAAAAAGTTTTTTTCAAAAAAAAAAAAACTAAGCATCTCAAACAAACTCTTCTCATTTTTTAAAGCAAACTAATTTTTATGATATACAATTAAATGCAAATTTAAACAAAGTCATAATTGCTTATTTATTTAAAATAGTTTTATCATTTATAATTGGTAAATTTCTTTTTACACATAATTACATCTGTAGGGATCAATTTTATTGACGTTAAATTTTATTCGTTGATCTGGTTTTTCTGAGGTCAACATAAGTGGCTTTTCCGCACCAAGAAAATGAGAGTAAAGTCATTTGCGAAAAATCATGTACCTTCAATAACATTTTGATGAAACCAATAAAGGTAACTCCTAAGAACGACCAACCTCCATTGTCGACCATTTTACTGTGGAACTGAGAGTGGTCACTCCAGAGAGGTTTCACTGTATAATCCTCTAATTTTTGTATCTGATGGTATTTATGACTAAGATGCAAAGTTGGAATTTTTATCACTCAGGAGCAACTAACAATTCTTTATTGTTGCAATTTCTTACAGTTATTACAAAATGGGTATTTTTGCAAACTAACTTTTTATGTATTAATATAATAAAAATATTAAAGAAACTGAAACTAAATAGTAATTACTTAGAAGAGAATCATAACTGATGCCCTCCAAAGCTTACAAGATGCTATATTATGTTAATAATTTGAGCACATATCAGTTACACAAAGTAATTTCTTGCTCTGTTAAAGATTTTTTTTAATGTGTTTGTTTTATCTTATTTAAACTTAATAGCAAAGGATAATATTACATGGGTAAAGTTTAGGTTAGAACAGATATGAATGAATAATTTTCTGGTAATATTTCATGTTGCTATCTTGTTCTTTTGTTAATTGTGGATCATGCTCCTTTTTTTTTTATTTATTTAATAGGAATATTTTGCTCAACAACCTGGGGCAAAGACAGCTCTGTTATTATTACAGTAGGGAACCTATTATCCGGAACGATCTGGACCATCGCTATTCCGGATAACTGATTTTTCCGGTTTTCTGAATCGCTACAAAAAGGCGTTTTTTTTATTGTTAAACCCAACTAAAAAAAAAAAAAAAAATATTTGGAAATAATCTTAAAAAGAAGAAAAAACGATGAAGTAATACACTAATGATTATTTCCAAAGTGATGGTAAGGTAAACATCTTTCAAAAAATAAAGAAAAATCCTAAAATCTTATGAGGAAATTTTTTTTTTATTTTTTAAATTGGCAAGAAAATTTATTGAATTTCGTTCCGGTTTTTTGGTTTTCTGATTTCCAGATAACGGGTTCTGTACTGTATTAATATATATTGGTAACTTTTTTAATATGTGTTGCAGCTCTTTAATTATTTTGTGTGTTTGATCCTAGCCACAATTGTTCTAACTTTTTAAAAAATACTTTTTTTATGGTAGTTCATAATGCATGCCGTAATCAAAAATATTTGTACTATTTTGAATTCCTTGCAAATTTAATCATTGTGTTTAGTCTGAACGTCCAAGAAGTGCCCATCTAGATTCTCATAAATTGGGACCAGTTTTATCTACACTGTCTTTTATGATGTTGTTTTTCATGTTAAATACATTTACATGAAATATATTTAATAGTTCACTGAAATAATCACATATGTACTTGTATGTATTTTAATGTACTCAGGTCACATAATCTTAGTAAATTATACTAAGAATTTTGCTAGTCTGTAAAATATGAGTCATGTCTAAACATGTATTCTGTTATTTGCTTACATAGTGTAGTGCTGTTTATTGACATTTGAATCAAAATAAAAAATTTATTCATGAACTTTTTTAAACTCCGCTCCTTTTATTATCAATACGTGATATTTTTAACTTTCACTGTAACAATGAGCCTTTAAATAATGGCCTATGTTACAGATTTATAACTTATGAGGATTAAGGAAACACTAGCTTAACTTAATCTTTAAAGATCTTCAAATATCTAAACACTTGATGTGATATAGATTCTTCAATCTTAATCAGTACTTTTTTCTCCAACCATCCAAACGGTCTTC